ATTGCAGAAGGCAGCTTTACTTGGAACAGCTTACTTCCTGCAGTGATACCTTTAACACCATCAAACTATAACAGGTCCTTGGGAAGAACTTGGTAGGAAGATAAAAGTGCTAAATCCAGTCTGAACATCTGGCTGAATGTGCAATGAACCGTAATAAATAAAAGCCTTCATGGAGAAATGAAACAATTATTTGGTTAGAAAAGCAATCTAAGCAAACAAAATGTCTCAATAAAAGTTTATTTATGCAGTTATCATTTTTCTGATTGTTGAATGCCGCCCCAAAGCACTTTGCTGTCATCTATGACTAACCTGTTAAACTGGATTTTCACATGCAGAAAAGGCTAAGTGGGTTAATCTATTTCCTAAAGAATATAAAGTTTTTTAAGCCACTCCTCTTAATAATCTTGACAACTAAACAAGATTTTACAAAGCAGATTTCGAGCCTCTCATTCTTGGGAATTAATGCTACATTAATTGGCTTTATGGAATTGCTGTTTGGAAAGCACAAAACAGAACTAGTCTCATATTCAAAGATTTTATGTCACTCCTGTGCCTCAGTACTTTTGAAAGTTAATAGTAGCTAACTAGCTTTTCCCTAAGTTCTTTTTCTTATCTTCAGCAACTTGATTCATCTAAGCCAGAGATGGCAGAAAGTAACTGGGATCATATATCATTTTGCAATAGCTCAGGCCAAGAATTTTTGACTGGACTAATAAGAAGGTAAAAATGAAGTTTAAATGAGTTCTCTTCTTTGGGAGTCCAAATATGAATTAATTACCTCTAAATATCCTTTTTAAGTAGTTTGGTTAAATTAGTTCTGCTTTCCAATGAATTTGTTGCTTTTGAATACAACTTTGTGTAGCCATAGAAACCAATTTTAGAAGTAATCCTTCCAGATAATGGGCCACAACAGAGTTCCCCAGGTAAAACATGGGCAGATTTTGGAAACAGCTAGATTAGAAGTAAAATGTGTTTCTGTGAGCAGAAGATCAGCTGAGCAACACTTGGAAGTTTCAAATTCCCTCAGCTCTGAAATCAAGGAAATAAGTGGGAGAACCTCTAAAGCAAGGGTGTCAAACTCGCATCATCATGGCGTCGTCACATGACATATCGGGACTTTTTTCCCCTTCGTTAAACCAGGTGGGGGTGGGGCCAGCACGTGACATATTTGGCCCATGGACCGCAAGTTTGACACCCTTTGCTCTAAAGAACTCCTTATCTGCTGGGTTGATCAGTCTTCTGTGCAACCAATCAACTCACAGCATTAACTGTAACCCACTTGCAAAACACCTGTTAGTCCTTGAATTTTTTGATTATCAATATCACATGTGGCAAGTTTAAGAAAGGCTGATGCATGACACCTAATAACAAGGTAAGCAGAACAATTAGGCCAATGAGTACATCAGGAATTTAGACAGCACTCTTTTGCAGATATTCACAGAAACCAGCTGTCACAAGAAGGGTCATGAGCAGATAGAGAAGTAACCTTTCAAAGTTAGCTTTCTTTACAAGATGTGTGTTGGTAATGCACCGTAAGGTCTGTTTTAGTGGGCAATGATCTGGTATAAGATAGAGGGGCAAGGAAACAGTGAGGAACGCTGGCTATTCTGATGCTAATGAACAAGATTCAACCATGCAGTAGATATTGGAGATTTGCAACCTGAAGGAAGATGCTACTTTCATTTTGTCTCAAGCAGCAAAAAGTCTGGAATCAAAGCAGTACATTTATTAACGCAGCGATTTTCAAATTTGACAACTTGAAAATATATGGACTTCAACTCCCCGCATTCCCCACCATCTCTTCAACCCTTAAATGTGACTCTCTCGGTTGCTTTGTCATCAATATTCTACAATATTCTCTTTCATGAACAATTGCCTGCTATAATGTAATCATTCAGAACCAGCTGTATGGTGATGTCATTACTCTAACTCAGAGTGTAAGTCTCACTTTGTTATTACTATCAATGGATAATGTATCTTCAATCAGATTTTGTTAATAATAAATCTCAAAGTAATTGTTAGTGAAGACAATACTTTTGATCTTCCTCCTATGAATCAACAAACACATTTATGACTGGGCAAACATACATAAACACACATTGTCAAGGCAGATATGAGAACTGTGACGACAAGGTTCACCAACCTGTTGTCTCCCATCTAAACTTTACAACCTCCAAACATTGGGACAGAAGACTGCATTTCCTCTTCAGTTGATGGAAGGGGCAAAGTATCTTTTGGTATCATCAGCATATAGATGCCTAATGTCAGATGACCTCCCCCCATTGGTTTATATAGATGTTAACAAGCTGGGGAGAGAGGACTGACCTCTGCAGTTTCCCATAAGTCAGAGACTACTGGGATGACATCACAGCCTCTAGACTAGATCCCTATGTTGATGTCTCCCTACCTAGACTGAAAATGTCAATTCAGGAAGTAGCAGAACCATTAGATCAGGGGTGTCAAACTCAAGGTCCGGGGGCCGCCCTGGAAACAATGAAGTACTGGTCCATGGTGCCTCTGCCAGTGAAAATGAAGCTCGGGAGGGCTGTAGGCGGCCCTCCCAAGCTCCATTTTCACTGGCAGAGGGTTGCAGGAGGCTGTCTCAGCTGAAAATGGAGTTCAGGAGCCCGTTTTCACTGGCAGAAGTGCTCGGGTCACCATAGGCACTCTGACACAAGTGACATTGAGCTGGCCGCACCCACCCTGGCACACCCCCTGCCCCCCCCAAGGTCAAACCCAACACTGATGTGTCCCTCGATCAAATCGAGTTTGCCACCCCTGCATTCAATAGTCCCTTTTATTTTCACTTCTATAGTCAGTTCACAAAAATACCATAGACAATGATATGAAAAGCCACCACAAGAACTGAAAAGACCAGAAGAGGTGCACTACCCCCATTGAGGTTTCAAGAAGTTCATCAAGGAGAGTGATCAAAACATTCTCAGTCTCATACCTAGGTCTGAAAAAGATTTAGATAATCTCTTACTCCTATGATGCTATCCAGTGGTGGGTTGCTACCAGTTCGCCCCGGTTCGGGCGAACCGGTAGCAGTGGCAGTGGAAGGCTCCACCCACCCGCCCAGACATCATCAAATATGCTCTGCACATGCAAACTGGTAGCAAAGGTAAGTGAAACCCACCTCTGATGCTATCTGGATCTGCCACCGTCTTAACATCCTTCCCCTGAAAAGGAATTTTGGAAGTTGGCCAGTAGTTATCTAGGACCATAAGATCCAGAATTAATCTTTTAAAAAATGATAAACTACTGCCTCCCTCTATAATAGCTCCCCTTGATGCAGAAAGGCATTAACAGTCTCATGGATCCAGGTGGTCACTTCTCCACTTTAACAGGAAAGATGATAAGGGATGCAATCTATACATGTCAGAGGACAACCTCTTCCTTGGAGGTCATGGGCCAAAAGGAGTCTTGGATAATCGTCTTTTGGGCTATTAAGAGTAAAGATTGCATAGACCCTGGCATGTAAGTATAACTGATGTCTTTCTTGTTTTGATTAGTAGAAACTGTTTAACTATTTGATTGGTAGGAAGTTGGATAGAACTTTTGACTCAGGTAAATTAAAATTGAAACAAAAAAATATGAAATAATAGAAAAGATTAAGAATGAGAAAACTAATTGCACTGGTGCGTAATGCTGAATCCAGAGTATTATTTCTAATTCCTATCATTCTGCCACTACTGAGAGGAAGAGCTGAGTCTAGAGGAACCATTTCATTTAAAGTTCTGCAAAACTCAATATTTTAGGACTGAACAGGATGAAGATACAGCATTTTGTTTTTCTTTGCCAGTAATTAGAAATGAATGAACTATATTTATTTGCCCTAGTTTCTGGATTACTATAGATCCAGTGACTCTCTTGGCATACCCACCAAAATGTTCGAAATGATCCTTGCTCTCTTCTCTGATCTCAAAGTTTTGCCACTGTCTGGGAGAGAATTCTCTTACGCCTCCAACAACTGAGCAGTGATTAAATGTATGCCAAAACCCCTGGGTAGGCATATCAGGGATCATAAAAGAGCAGCTTTAATCAGAAAAATCAATATTTGAATTTTTTTTTAAAAAAAATCACATATTCAGCTGTTAATTATCAAATGTACAGTTCTTGAATGGAGAAAAATCGGTTGATGGAGATATATATATATATACCACATTTTTTGGAGTATAAGACATTCCGGACTATAAGACACACCTACCTTTTTTGGTGAGGAAAACAAGAAAAAGAAATCTGCCTCTGCCTCTGCCTCCCAGCAATTTTGCCTCGTTGCAGCAAACAGCAAATACCCTGCTTTACTTTCATTTTTGTTTTCAACATAGCTTGATTAGCACAAGAAAAAAAAATCTGCTCCCAGCAATTTACCTCCTTGCAGTAAGCAGCAGAGGCCCGCGCAAAACAGCTGAGAGTTGGGAGGCCAACAGGACAATCAACTTGTGCTAATTAGGTTGTGGTGAAGCTGAAATGAGCTGTTTCTTCTTGCTGCTTGCTGCAAGAAGGTAAACTGCTGGGAGGCAGAGGCCAAAGGGTGGGTGACAGTGGGTGGGCGGGGCTACATTCGGTATATAAGACGCACCTAAATTGTCAAAAAGGTGCGTTTTATACTCCAAAAAATACGGTGTGTGTGTGTGTGTGTATAGATAGATAGATAGATAGATAGATAGATAGATAGATAGATAGATAGATAGATAGGTATAGATATATAGATATATAGATATATATTCTTACTTCTTCGTAGGATTTATGTGTGTTTTTCCTCTAGCCAGGTTTTTCCTACGTAACCAAGGTTTTTCTGCAGCCCTAGCTCAGTGGAGTCACATCCACTCGATTCTGGGCTTTTTTCTTTCTTGCAGCCAAGGGCCTGCTGGCTGCCAGAAAGAAAAAAGCCCAGAATCGAGTGGATGTGACTCTACTGAGCTAGGGCTGCAGAAAAACCTTGGTTACGTAGGAAAAACCATATATATATTTGCATAGTTCAGAGTCATACTTGCCTGCAGAGTTCTGTCCCAACATTCACAAGTTCTTGGCTGGAAAGGTGAGCTCCAGTTTTGCGGAGTAATTCAATCACTTTATGATTCCTTTAGAAAAGAGGGGAAGGAGAAAGTTTTATTCTTCATCCTATTTGTGTTTTAATAACTTCAATTTAACTTCAATTAATTGATAAGCAGAATCAGAGAATAATTTCCCATGCTGAATTTCCTTCACAGTGGGACCCTGAAAATCACATCTATGGTAAAGAATATAACAGAAGGGGAAAAATGAAAACTGTATTGGGCAATCTTGTGTTGTGATTTTAATGATTGGGATATATTATTTATCTTGAGAATTATGGATCACTGCTTATTACCATTGTTTTAATCTCTGTATGCTGCCTTGAATCACTGTTATGACATAAGCAGCCATATCAATCTATATAAATAAAATAAGAATTCTAGGAGTTGCAGTCCCAGTACCACTGGGAAGCTGATTTCCCTCCATGCCTCCATGTTAAACTACCACAACCTAACTGAGTATTTTCAACTCAAAATATATCCAGGTTTCAATCATCATTAATCTAAAAACAGCACCAAAATCTTTCACATGACCACTGCAAGCCCAAAACACATTGCTGAAAGATCATGTAGTATTTAATACCATATTTCCACATATGATCAAGAACAATCCTTCAAAAGATTTCATAGTCCAAACAGAGAATCAATTCCTGCTTTCTTGTATCACTCAGACTTTAGTAGTTTTGCACCAGTGGTAGAATTTAATTTTTTTTACTACCGGTTCTGTGGCCGTGGCTTGGTGGGCATGGTGTGGCTTGGTGGGCGTGGCAGAGGATGTATACTGCAAAATCTCCATTCCTACCCCACTCCAGGAGAAGGATACTGCAAAATCCCCATTCCCCCCCCACTTCTGGGGGAAGGATATTGCAAAATCTCCATTCCCACCCCACTCTGGGACTAGCCAGAGGTGGTATTTGCCGGTTCTCCGAACTACTCAAAATTTCCGCTACCAGTTCTCTAGAACCTATCAGAACTTCCTGAATTTCACCCCCGTTTTGCACCCTTTATTCCCCTGGCAACTTTTGTTATGCACTATAGTCATCTTCATTTTTACCTTCACAGTCTGCCTTATTACACAGACCATCATTTCTTCCCACTGTACCTTGTTCTCAATTATTTGTTACAGCCTCCCCTTCAGGCCCTGCAATGCTTTGAATGCAATTCCCAAATTGCATGTACTAGCATAGCACCTGTCTGTAAAACAACCACATTTTTTCCCATGATCCTGTGGCAGTTGCAGAGATCAGCATATGACCCCATAAGAACACTGTGGATGTTTTAAAGGTTTGCAAAATACATTCCCACTCTTGCATGTTGCAAAATCTTTTTTTGGTAGCCAATCCAAAGCAATGAATAGTTTTAAGTCACCTCAGTTGTTTGAAAAAAAATCACAAGTGTTAAATTAGCCCGTAAAATTGATCAGTAATATGGCAGAAAAAGCTAGATAAATTAGGAAGCTGGAAGAAAAGAAAGAAAATATAGCAGAGAGCCAACATTAATACATTTGATATTTTTATGGAAATGCTACCACAATTCAGTCTATTTTCATACTTATGAATAAGACTATTCTGAATCAGTTCTTCCTTAGAAACTGCTGGAACAATCACTGCTGCCTGCTTAGACTGTCCATTGTTTTCCAATGGTTCATGGGCTAAAGTATTTCAGTGCAAACCAGAGGTGCTATTCAGCAGGATCTGACAGGTTCTGGAGAACCCGTAGTGGAAATTTTGAGTAGTTCGGAGAACCGGCAAATACCACCTCTGGCTGGCCCCAGGAGTGAGGAGGGAATGGGGATTTTGCAATATCCTTCCCCTAGAGTGGGGTGGGAATGGAGATTTTGCAATATCCTTCCCCTGCCCTGCCCACCAAGCCACGCCTACAGAACCGGTAGCTAAAAAGTTTGAATTCCACCACTGGTGAGATTAGAGGAAGACACTTCCAGCTTTTGAACATTTTAGTCAACCTCAACAAAACTAAAAATAAACGAATTGCAAATCAAAATAAAGCATCCACCCCCTCCCCAATTAGGCATCATTGAACATTTTTAATTCTAAAAATTAGCAAGCATTTCATTTTGTTAAAACTACTGTTTGTGGTTTGAGAACCATGCTAAGTGATCTTCCATACATATACCACTGTCTTTCTTCTATACTTTTCCATTCATCAAAGAGACTCTTGTAAAGCACTTCAGAACCAGGCATGGCTTTTTCATAAGTAAGGTAATCTAGTGGCCCACTCTTAAAGATGATATAACACTTTTACTTCTGTCTAAAAGTAAGACAAAGTCTCTGAAGAATGTAACATAGATTCCTTCTGTATCTCAAGTAGATTAGAAAGCAAATCACAAGGTTTCAGTCATATTTTTTCAGGTGTAAAATTGCTTAAAGCACCCTCTACGTAGCTTAAGTTGTTAGGTATGCATGGCAGATCTGAGGCATGAAGTGGATTTCATTTTTTTTCTTTAGATTTATTCTCAATAAGCCAGAGGTGGGTTTCAGCAGGTTCTGACCAGTTCTGGAGAACCGGTAGAGGAAATTTTGAGTAGTTCAGAGAACCGGTAGTAAAAATTCTGACTGGCCCCGCCCCCATCTATTCTCTGCCTCCCAAATCCCAGATGATCGGGAGGAAATGGGGATTTTGCAGTATCCTTCCCTTGCCACGCCCACCAAGCCACACCCACAGAACCGGTAGCAAAAAAATTTGAAACCCATCACTGCAGTAAGCTATGTACAGACATTTTTTTCAAAATATGTTTACATTTCTTTTGTTGCACTATTAAAATCACAATATCGATGCAATTGTACTTCTCCTGGAAGGCAGTATTATTCAGTCCTTATTGCTGAGCACAGAGGTATTACTAACTATCACAATTACAAACCTCCGATGTTTGCTTATTATCTTAAATACTTTATTGCATGTATTCCATGAGAAACAAAATATCACTTTAGATATTTTCCCCCTTTTCAGTTGGTAGATAACTTATATTGATTTTCACTTCAGCCTGCAAAGTACCATTTATATAAATAAATGTTCACGGAAAGTGTAGACAACTTCAATTAGCTCATACCATGTTGGGAGGGGGTTGTGATTCACCCTAAACCTAAACCCTCTTTGTGGACTTCTAGGTACTTGAAATAAAATACTCTGAATTTCATCCAGGTGTAAATTAGTGCCACAAGACTTTTTTCCTGAGGAAACATCCATGAGATTTTTTGCACTGTCAGTTCCTTATGCCTCAAATTACACAGGCTCATAGACGCCTTTCTGTACCATCAAGCTACTTTGTAATGCACATGCATAGCTGAAGACAATGTGGAACCAGTGATTACTCTCCGTGAGTACCTGAAAACTCTTTTGAAGACATCAAGGGCTACAAATAACTTGTTTAATATTCAGGTCAAAATCAGAAGCAGACAGACAACTCACCTGACACAGAAATATATAATGACTGGGTGGAATTTTTACTGAGTTGCAGATAATTATATACAGGTAAATCAGTGCCTTGAATAGGTAAATTGCAAGCCCTGTGTCTCATTCTTTGTAACACAAGTGCTGGATTTTCTAAGGTAATCACAATGTGTCCCATTGATTTCAATACATTTTAGGTGTTCTTGGTGTATAATCTGGATTATCTCAGATTAGAACTAGTAGGCAGGGCTTAGGCAAATACAAACTTCAGTCTCAGCTTCTCATCTGCATTATGAGACTGAACAGAAAAAGTAAAATAAAAGGTAAATGCCCCCTTGGGTTCAGCCCATCAATGGGTGGTTGTTGGAAGCCCCCCTGGATGACGCTCCTCAGAGCAGAATAAAAATAGAAGAGAGATACATTGATCCATTTAAGAAGTGCTATCGGAAATCCTCACTTGGTAAGCTGGAGAATAAATCAGAAATATTTTACATGCAAAACTATAGCCCCACCTTAAACACTCTAAAGCATTATTATACATGATAAAGATGATTACAGTTATTATGCTGTGAGTGGGTATTAAGATTCCCTAATGCTGACACCTGACATTCTTTATTTTTACATATGTTTTTAAAATAGTTTTTTGAAGGCTTACTTAGAATTTAAAATGCAAGCAAATCTTTATAGGAATGAGAATAGCAAGGATATTTCCTTTCCTTCAGGAATTTAATGACATGCAAATGTTAAACCCAGGCCTCAACTTGATGAACTTTTATTTAATTCTTTAATTTTGTTCCCTGGTATGAAATAAAGAATTGACCTTTTACATAGTCTTGACAAAGTTCAAACATAGGAAGCAACAGAGCAAAAAAAAACAACTCTGTCCTTAAAAGAGCCAGAACAAGATACCTATTTGCAGATGACTAATAGCATTGCCTTTTTTTTTTAAGAAGTCATAGAAGGCATAAATATTCTTGGATGTTTATTTTGCTTCCCCATAAAATATCCAACATTTCAAACAGGAATATTGATGTCTAAGGCCCAAACAAGCTCTTTCTATCATACTTATGAGCACAAAAAGCAATACACAGTTCTACCTTAAATCTCATAATTTCTTTTTATTGCTAAAGTTTATTTATTTACTTATTTGAGAAGAAAATGTTGTGGGAAATTAAACACAAAATAAACATGCTTTATGAGTGACTGGGCACATATGTGGGACTGCATATTAGTATGCAATAATTTTCTCTCACATAAAATGAAAGCAAAAGCCTATCCCTGTACAACATTATTTTTGCTCCAGTTGCAGTAATAATATGTAATGCTACCAGATTTAAATCATCCCATGCCATCATTTTAAGATTGGCTGCAAAGTCTTCCAGCACATAGGAGCCTAAAGCAATCCTTCCAGACTCTACAAAATGATGACTAATAAGTCCCTTCTAACAAGAGCATAATCTTGAACCCAAATTCATTCTGTTCTTCCAGTCCCCCTTTTGGCAGCTTTCAAAAGATCAAGCTCCCTCTCTTATGGGAGTGGTAAAGCAAAAGAATCTGAATAACAAACTCATGTGAAATTCCTCAGGCAGCCTTGGGTGTGGTTAAAACACACATGCAGGCACATTGCTGTTTACAGGAACATTTCGCAGAGGAGTGCAGAGCAAGTGCTACCTCGGCTCAGTTGTAAGTGTTTTTAACTTGCACTAGAAACTCTTAGGAAATTCCTCTCCTGTGTTCTAGGACCTGGTTAGACATCATATTGTCACAGATTATTTGGAACAGCTGCCAAATATCTTAGAAAAATACTAATCCAGGAGTGTGAGGAATTGACCAGAGTTTTAGCCTTGTGGACTGGTGATGATGGAAACTGTCATTCCACAATTCTGGAACTCATCAGAAAGCTACACTACAGCATTTATCTGAATCCTTAAAGAGAAAGCTTTACTAGTGATTGTTGTATAAGGATGAGCCACAGAGAAAGCTGTTATAAGCCAGCATTTAGATCTATTGCATCAAACTCTTTCCATAGATGCGAAGCAGGCATGCTCTGCATACTTAATTTTAATGAATGATGTACATAGAAATATATACAGTATCTGCAAAAACTGGACTTTCTTGTTCAATTACTAGGATAGGGACAATGAAAGCAGTTAAACCAATTAGGATTAAAAGGAGAAAAAACAGATTGTAGTTTACAGAGAGGGGCATAACAGTACAACATGCTAAAATCCATTAAAATGCTCAAAAAAAGTCCCTGATTTTGAGTTAACAAAAATTTCTACATGTTATCATATGCATAAAGATCTGAAACATAATAGTTTCTTTAACCAGATTTTTACATATTCCATGCAGAATTCTAGATTTGATTCCAAAAAGGGGTTTTGGGACATCTAGGGACAGAAATGTTGCATCAGTCAAGTGACAATTGCAGATGACAGTTAAGCCAGGAAAAGATATGGTTTCTTTAAAGAACTGCTCATAGATATGTTCATATGCCTGCTTACTCTAAAATACCTTGTTGAAATTGATTTCAAAGTTATGAACAGCCTTGATGAGTGAAATTCCATACAGCAGTGTATTTTCCAAAACATCTTCCCAATAGAAGCTAAACATTTTTTCACCACACAGAAACTAATAATAAACATATGAAGTCTCTTTACTCACTGTGTTCCTCTCCTTGTGTAGCAATAGCATATAAATCAAATTTTTAAAAAAAATAGCAATACATGCAATGTGAAACAAGACTGAGGAGTGAACAAGAACAATCAGTCCTTTATATTTACTGATCTTTTACTACAGTATCCTATTAGAGAGTTTTCCGTCTTTATTACTTGGGATACAGCACATGACCAAAAATATCTCTTTCATTTCCAACCATGAAAGTTGATTTGGAAAAGACAAGTTTTGTAAAGGAATAAACTGTGGCTGAGAACAGCCCTTTAGCACATAATACTTATCTGTCCCAAAACCAATATATAACTGGGCTTCAATTCATTCAGCTGCTTATGTCTTAACTCTTCCAAGGTGCCTGATTTAAATTACATTTTAATAAGATACCTGAACATAACAGCATTCATCAGTGGAGTAGCTCCTGATCGGTCTTTTGCATATACAGTTGCACCAGACTTCAACAGATGCCTGACTATCTTCAAATTGCCTTCACAGGATGCAACATGAAGTGGAGTGCGACCATCATAATCACCAGAGCTCAAGTTTCCACCCTACAATAAAGTTGTTTAAAATGTATGTGAAATTGTATCTGTCTTTAAATTCTTCTTCAAATATTTACTGTATACCCATATCTTTTTCTAGTTTATTAGGAATTGGACAAAGAAGAAATGTTTCTATCATTGTATTATTCATTTATTTAGTATTATTTCATTCATTCATTCTCATGAACTCTAGGACCAAAGGAGAAGACTCACCTAAAACTACTTTCTGAATATCAATCTAAAACCCTTAAGGAACACAGAAATATAGCTTGATTAAAGTCTCCAACAGCATATGTATATAAGATTCAAATAGATTAAGGTGTTCTACAGATCCTCTGCTTTTCAGGAGTCCCTTTTCATATGGAGAAAGACCTTGATGTCGCTAGTGGTACATGATTTCTTTTCAGACATTATTATATTAATAACTGAATCCTGCTCACCCTCTTACATTCATTGTATTCATTGATATAAACCCTTTATCCAATAAAACAATTTCACGTAACAATCTGATGACTAGAAATAATATAATTTTAATAATTGGGGCAAACTATAACAAAGAGTCAAACTCACTTTTGAATTTTCCAGAATAACTGCATATTAACCAAAAATGTGGGATGCAAGAAGAATAAGATAAGAATTCCCCATCTGCAATTGTGAAATATTAAGATTACCTAAGGGATGTACTAGGAGTTAATGGAATTTTACTTAGACTGCAAGGAGCAAAAGAGAAAGTTTGCTGCTTTCTACTCAAAAATATAAAAGTGTAGCAGTTATCTTAAGCCATTTCCAGTTTTAATCAGCTGTAATTTTGGGATTCTTTCTAATAAATACACAAGGCTTCCTGAAATTGATTATAGATAATGTAACATGTCTGGATTTTTATTTTCCTTCTAAATCCAGATTCTGGAGGCCATGGAATAACCTCTTGGAAAAATACAATTCAGATTAACTGGTGAGCAAAAATTGTTTCACACTTCAAAACAGTCATATAAGAAGAAATAAAATAAGAGACAATTACCAAGTCCTGTAAGACTTTTAGGGCAGTTAAGTCACCATTTTTTGCAGCCACACATGCCAAAGAAGGAGTCAAGGCATCCCTTACAGCTGCTAGTTCCTGAGAAAAGGAAATAAAACTATTATTTACACATATTTCCTCCAACTGCGCTTGCATATAGCTGGACTTTTTTGACTAGAGATGCTTGTTTGAGGAATCACTTTCTGAGCAATGCCTCCTTTCTCAATCTAGTATATAGAGTTCTGGAATTTAATGCTGTCTGTGCAAAATGAGCATATGGACAAGATGACTCTTTATTTTTAAAGTTTTATGAAATTACAGTTTCCTCTCCATCAGTCCTGTACTTCAGTCACTCCAGCAATCTTCAAACATATTTTTATCAAGCATTTTAATTATTATATCTTTATTTAATATGTTAGGGGGAAAAAGTTATAAAAATGAAATTAAATAGATATGAATGAAAGAGCCTGACATAGCTAATGGAAATTGCAGATTGTCTTCATGTGCTAAATATATAATTGTTAGAAGAAAACACGATAACCATCTCTTCTAATGTCTGAGACAGTGGTCCGTGAGCACAAACAAGAGAGGATGTATTGCACACATACATAGGTGTGGATTTCCATTCAATATCTGGTTGATCTATTTGGAAAGAGACCTCAAGACTAGATAGACTTTTGGTCTGATACAGGTGAAAATATCTCTCTTCTTCCTACCTGTTGAGTTCCAAAGCTAAATTGGGCCTGCTTCATTTGAACCTGACAGTCTCATCTCACATACTTGAACAATAATTGGATATTGTTGTCTAGGATATAGTCTTTGGACATCATTGTCAATGCTCTTGATTGGTTTAAAAGGTTTTGTTTTGTTTTCTTGTTCTTTGACATTATCACACGGTGGATTAAAGTCCTAGGAAGGGGTTGTCCCTCAGAGATTAGATATGGGTGCTATTTTGTTTCCCTTTCCCTTTCTTATTATGAATCACGGTTTCCAGTATCAAAGTCTTATCAGTCTTTTATGGCTCTTGATGATGTGTGGTCTCAAATGTTTTATCTTCATAGAGCATAACAGTGCCATTTGAGCTTTTTTCTGAACCTTTCATATTATTCCTCACATTTTAGTACCACATAGAGCTCTTCACTGGCTGCCAACTGAAAGCAGCCACAAGTTTAAATTAATACTACTTTTATTTAAGCCCTCCAGTCACACTCCCCAGTATCAGTCTGCTTTTATTTCCTCCTACAGTCTGGTTATGTTCCAAACAGCATGGTCTTATTTTGGTTTCTTACTTCAGGGGTGCAGGCTCAGGTTTCAAGATGTGATCCCACGATTCAGGGCCCACTTCCTTCCTCCCTTTATGTCTGTGGAAATCAGATACTCCTTAAAGGGATTTAAATATTATTTTATTAGTGGGTTAATCTGCTTGTTCCACCCTATCTAACAGTTCTAGATAAGTACTTTTTAAAAATGACTGTGGATGTAGATACATTTAGTTTTGTTCTGTGGCATTATTTTAAATCTACTGTTGTTGTATTCATCATTTTAGAGTTAATATTTGTTTGCTGTACTGAAGCTAAATTCCAAACTAATGTTATTGGACTGGTTGCTATTACTTTTTAAAATTTGTACTGTGCCTTGGTAAAAGAAAGCAGTAATAGGAAAGGGAAACTTTTCACCATGGTATACCATAGTATTTTGCAACTGGTTAACATCATAGTATTTCACAACTGGTTAAACTGTTCTGCAGTGTGTCCTCTTTGCTTAAACAAGTGCCATTTGAACAAGTACCTCTTTGCAGCTGATCAACAGATATTTTGCAATCTCTTGTATAAACTTGCAATCTTTGAGAGTTATCTGGGTTCCAATGGGCACAACAGTCATTTCTCCTCTCAGATTCTTGCTCAGCATCTGCATAAAGAAAAGCAAGTCTGAAATCCAAATAAATAAATCTAAGATAACTGAATGACCATCTACTCCAGGGGTGTCAAACTCAAGGGCCGAGGGCTGAATCCGGCCCATGGAGTGCTTAGATCTGGCCACAGGGCTTCCCTGGAAACAGCGAAGGACCAGCCCACAGTGTGTCTGCCAGCGAAAATGGAGCTCAGGAGCTCAGGAGTTTCTGAGCTCTGCTTTCACTGGCAGAGGGTCGCAGAAGGCCGTCGCAGCTGAAAATGGAGCTCAGGAACCTGTTTTCACTGGCAGAGCATTCAGGCCACCACAGGCACCTCGACACGAGTGATGTTGAGCTGGTCACATCCACCCTGACCACACTCACCCCGCCCCCCCCGTGGTCAAATACAACCCTGATGCGTCCCTCAATGAAATTGAGTTCGACACCCCTGATCTGCTTCAATCTGAGTTGACTATTCAAGCAGATCCTCCAAGCACAGTTTGTGTGGTGGTGGGGAGAGCACTGAGACTGAGATCTAGTCAATCCGTTTTGAACTAAATCACAATCCCTAGATTTTATGCAACAGAGAAACTTTAAGAAAGTTTCATACAAGAAGAAGAAGAGATGAAGAAGAAGAAGAAAAGAGATGGTGCAAAGTCACACAACTCAAACTTATTTCATCTTTTATGCATAGTATTAAGGATTAAGATTATATGTTACTTGGTTTATTTAATGTGCACAATGTGAACACTCACAAAAGCTATTCATTTTTTATGTGTTAATACTAATTTGAAAGATTCCTTTACTCAAATCCTGTAGATACTATCGCCTGTCTTATAATCATAAACTCAATCATAGAAGAGTAAAACCATGTTAAATAGCTTGCTGCTATTAAGACAAATAAGGCAGGAGAAGTACTAGTAATAATAATCTGAGGCAAACATCATCAGTCACATTATGCCTCTATTTGAAATGCAGGAGAAGAGTAAGAAATATGGGAGAATTTAGGTTAAGCAAAGAAAGCATTACAGGCATGAAGGAACTGCCTGAATGTACACTGTCCACTGTGTTCACTATCAAGAAGTTTCAGGGGTTTATTGAAGGAGGACTAATGATACAGCAGAAATCAAATCTCCTTCTTCTGGAAAGGTAAAGATAGAAGGGAGAATAGTTTCCTGAGAAGAAGAGAGGATGATGTCAGGTAATGATTTAAGAGCTGACCAGCTGCTACAATGATGTAATGCTGGGAATGAGTCAGCAAGGTTTATGGACTGATATCACTTTAAGAGCCTATAATAAGAAAAGGCCCTGTTGGGGCATATCTCTCTCTCCATGTGTGCTTCCATGCTGTAATTGCTGATTGCTGTTTGAAGTCTGACTAGAGTATGCATGTATATATTCTTTGTAGATAAAACCACTATTTAAATACAAACCTCTGTTTACTGTATTTGCTCCTGGGTTGTCTCACATAGTCACACTGTGCGCACTCTGACAGAAGACATGTTAAGAAGCCAAGATGAGGGCTGTGAAATATCAGAGATAATAAAGAATGGGACACCAAGGCATAGAAAGCCAAGTTTGCATCATGACAAGTTCCCAGAACCTTACTGAACCTTACAGAAGCTTATCAAAGTATACAAAATTTATAATACATGACAATTCCCCAAGTTTCCAAGTAGGCATATAATTCTGAACTCTAAAAAGCACACAAAATGGGAAGTAATTTACATGTGTGCTGGACCTATGAACTGGATCTATCACATACCACATGAGAAAGATACTATAGATAGTATTTTAAAAGTATTAAAATCTGTGTTTGGATGGAAATTCATTTATGATCAGGGGCCTTGATCAGTACACCCTGATTCCTGATCAGCTCTTCATAAGATTTTCAGGAACATTATTCTTACTTTCTTCATAAGATTTTCATGAATATCATTCATACTTAATCACCTTGAAAAGTTAGCAAATTAGCAATGTTAGAAAGATTAGTCAATCTCATAAGTTCTTGCTATGATAATAGACATGAATTAGTAGTGTTATGATATGGATTTTGTAAGTGGGGATGTTTTCTCCTAGTTGGCTTATTTGGATGTCAAGTAGTTTTCACTTAATAACCACAATTTGTATTGAGAACTCCATCACTAAGCAACATGGTAATTAAGTAAAACATCACATGACCATGCCCGACTTACAATGTAATTTCTTCTGCAGATGTTAATAACCATTCATGGTCATTAAGCATGACATCAACTTGAGACTTAATAACCCAATTAACAAAATAAGTTCAAGGACCAGTTGTAAAACTACTTCTTCAATGCTATTGAAGGTTCAAATGGTCACTAAACACAGCAGCCCTCAACCAAGGACTAGCTGTATTGTATGAAATGACCCAAGTATGTGTGAAGTATACATATTTGTTGTGCGTGAGTTAAGGTTCCATGTCAATCTGTCTCAAGAATCTAACCCTAACAAAAACAAAAGGCCATTGTCAACCATTGTGATCTGAGAGCCCTTAACCTGTAAGATGCCATAACTAACTCTGGTTCTGACAATAACACTGATAATTATTTAGGAACAGAGGAAGAAGAGAGATTCTGGGATAATATTGGGGAAAGACTGAAAACAAAATAAGAACAGTGCTGTACATACATGCAGAACGCTTGTGTAATGCAGAATCATTCCCTGATTAGAGAGAATATGGGAATATACATGCCTAGTGATGCCTATCTATCTAGAAGCATGGCTGTACAAAGTTAAAGAAAGCAAGAGTACTGTGGGAAAGACTATCTCACTTTTAGTACTGTTTAGGCATGTCTGAAAAAGAATAAAATAAAGAGAACATTGTAGGTGTGGGAATTTTTTAATGCTACTTTCCAGGGGAAGTTAGACCCCAATTTTTTTATATATATACAAGGATTCTTCCCAAGCCACAGGATAACTTTTAGCAAGGGACATGTGTAGTTCTCTCTTCTCTCACCATCTTTCACTATCATTGAGTTAGCAGCATTCCTAACTCTAGTTACTAAAACATATACAGATTTTCCCCACCGTTCACTAGGTAGCCATAGGTTACAGGAAATATCTTGCAGTAGAATATGTAGGATCCTATTGCTCCATGGGTAAAAATCTGCAGTATTTTCTTGGTTTGCTATTTTGATACTAAACTTTGACCTACACCATAAACCAGATTGTGGGCATATTGTGTGGGAGATTCTTTATTAAAATGGGCCTCTCTCCCATTAGCGGCAGCTAAATTAAGAATATTTTTTACCTATATTGAACTATAGGTATTATTATTTTCAGCCTCTGAGAGCTACAAGAAACATAATGAGTGGGCAGCAATTGAATGTTAAAGACTTCCTTTAACATTTGTTAAATAATTTTTTAAAAAGTTCAGCAGGATTTTGTCTCTGAAGTTCAGCAGGCAAAAACTGGTTCTGAAGTTCACTCAAGGGAATGGAAATGAACTGCTCCGCTTATTTTTTATTTTGAGGCCAAGGCTAATCTGAGATGTTTGATACAGAATGAGAATATAACGTCAATATTATCATCATCATCATCATCAAATTGATAGAGGATGAGAATATTATGTCAACATCATAATGATCATCATCGTCATCGTCATCAAATTGTCAATGTTACCCTTGTTGTTGCTATCCAATTCCTATTTATTCTTATTAATATGAATCTTGAATGGACTTACTCATGCACACTGATTTCACAGGGTGCATTTTCACATTAATAATCAAACAAATTATCTCAATATGTTTTGAGCTTAGTTAGATTTTTTGTAGCTTATTGTGTTGAGAGAGCTTAGCCAGCTGTTCTTTAAACTTCCCTTGGCCACCAGATACTAGTTATTAGTTATTAAACTTCCCTTGGCCACCAGCACTTTGTGCAAGAAAGGTAAGGAAACCAGGCATTCAAAAACTGAAACGAAAAAGTCATTTTACCTTTTTCTTTTTATCAAAAGTAAGCCCAGGTTTGCTGAGGACATAGGATAACTTAGCAAGAGCAGCTTCTGGCGTCATATCTCCTCCTGGAATTATACCAACATCCATGAGAGTCTATATACAATGCCAAAGGAAAAAAAATACAGCTTGAATTAATGCACTGCTTTCTAATATAACTAGAATGAAAAACAGCTCTGTAAGTGCAGAGCATGATTTGGGGCAATGACAGATAATCCTTGACATATAACCACAATTGAGCACAGAAATTCTGGGCGAGATATGTGTTAAGTGAGTTTTGCCCCATTTTACGACCTTTCTTGGCACAGTTGTCACAAGTTGTTAAGTAATTCTGGCTTCCCCATTGACTTTACTTGTCAGAAGATCGTAAAAGATGAAACATGACCCTGGGACACTGCAACCTTTATAAATATGAACCCATTGCCAAGCAACCGAATTTTGATCATGTGACCATGGGGATGCTGCAATGGTCATAAGTGTGAAAAACAGTTATAAGTCACTTTTTTCAGTGCTGTTATAACTTCAAATGGTCACTAGATGAAGGATTTTAAGTCGCAGAACTACCTGTACTGATTGCAGCCCTCTGTTCAACCAATATTCTTCCAATGCTGCAAATCTCAGGAATAATTTTTAGGGCCAGCTTGTTTGTGAAGGAATTAGTAAACACAGAACCTCTCATCATGTTTTGCAATAGCAATAGCACTTAGACTTATATACCGCTTCACAGTGCTTTCTAAGCGGTTTACAGAGTCAGCATATTGCCCCCAGCAATCTGGGTCCTCATTTTATTGACCTCGGAAGGATAGAAAACTAAATCAACTTTGAGCCAATGAGAATCGAACTGCCGAACTGCTGGCAGCCAACAGTCAGCAGAAGTAGTGTTCAGTACTGCATTCTAACCACTGTGTCACCATGGCTCATCAATGAACATTAATGAACAAGCTTTCTGCTACTGCACCAGTCAATGCAATTTAATATTTGTTATCATTATTTACTAAGTTCTGGTAAATGTGTGAATCCTAGAGTAAAATTTGAAAATTTAAACAAGATTTTAATGTTATTATTCCTTTGATTTAGATGTCAATATTATTTTGCTGGGTAATGGACCATTGGTCCATTATAACAGCTAACTTAAAACTATTTTTAAAAAATTGATTTCATTTGCTGACTTCCACACACATAGCACATTTTAAACACAGGATTTTTTTAAAATGATAATAATATCTTAATTCATAATATAAAGCTAATCAGGAATAGGGTTTACCTGTTAAAATCATACCAATAAGAAACAGGCTTTGTTGCTACAATATAATGTAACCTATTCTTAGTATATTTGCTATGCTTTCAACTATTAGTTATTTTGCATATATTATAGGCATGCTTTAATACAGCAATTGGAATATCCAGATCTGAGTTTTTATAACAAAAATTATCCTATTGAACCTTAAAGGAAAGCCATTGAACTTGGAATCTTCTCAAGATACATGCTAGATTAAAATAGATGAACATGTTTGTAGAACATTCCCACAGGGTAGTTTCACTCAAACGCAAATTGTATTTGGTATATGTCTCTCATAACCTAATATTCCTTCTTTTTCATTACCACCACAACAGACTCTCAACCATTTGCTAACGGCAAACCTTTAAGCCAAAATACTTCCTGGAAAAGCAAAGCCATTTTAAAACCAAAGAAAAGCAGCGATTATAAACCTAAACAAGGCTTTTTAATTAAATATTAAAAATAAATAACATTTGTCTTTGTACATGACAGTCTTTGTCTATTAATTAGGCATAAAAAGCACAACCTTAGAAGTGATTGGTGCAAGAACTAGTCATGTTTGGGATACAATGGGGATTATAGAAAAAGAAATAAAAAACTTCCAAGTGCCAGATCAGACATAATTCTATTAATTGGCACAACCACTTAAATTTGGTCCTATCCTACTTTTCAAATCACATCTGTCTTGGATAAAATCTGCCATTCATGCTATACCTCTTGGAAGCATCCTGTCTTGAGAACCATTCAGATGTTTCAGCTGGTTCAGCAAGCAGTGGCCTGTGCTGCTATTGGAATACCTACCATCAACCATATAATGTCACTAAAAAGGGAGCTGCATTGTCTGCCAATCAATTTCAGTATACAATTCAGGGTGATAGAATTTAAAGTTCTGCATGGCTGAAAACTCCAAGATCCCATTCCACAAGTTGAATTTGCTCATCCAGTAAAATCCAGTGCTAAGGATGCCAACTCTGAGGAAGTACTACCCACATGGATAGCTAACTGATGGCTCCAGACTTCTAGTTGGCCTACCCTCAGTTATTTGGACTATGTTATATTTGAAAGAGCTGTTTAAAGTGAAGATTTTGCTGCCTGATACACCTGAGCCTTCTTGTGATTATGCCAATGTTAGTGATTCTTATGTTTTAATTGTATGGAAGCCACTCAGAATCTTTGGAATGGAGTGGTCCGTAAGAAAAGAACAGCAAGTATGTTCACTAGCTAAGCATATTGTTCAAATCTGCCATCTAAAACAAGGATCTTACAAGACCGTTTAAGATCATGGGAATTATCTGGAAACCATCAAGATGGGAAGAGTGATTTAGATTGCAGAATTCCTCTCACCTTTCCTGTGGCATAGACTGATGACACAGATCCTCGCAGACATTGGGTGCAATTCAAAATCACAACATTGGAATCAGTAGCTTTCCTCAGCAAATCTAGTAATTCTGGACAATTATTTGGAGCATTTCCACTCCCATATGTCTCAAGTACAATGCCTTCCATAGAGCTCTGAAGAAATGCCCTTACCTGTTTGGAAGAGAAAAACCACAATGAGAAATTACAGTTCAAGCTCATTGCAATATAATTTTATTTCTTCTCAGATCCACTCAAAATGTATGAATAATTACATTAGTTCTGTAATGAGAAATATAGTGTTGTCTTTTGACTGGACTAGCATAGACCCATTAGTAAATAAATGTTCAAAAAGGAACAGAAGTGCTAATTATTTAAGATTAATACGTAGATGTTACAAACACACATGTGTATATAAACACAAAGTCTCACATAGATGCAAACACTTGTGTAAGAATCAATAGTTTATAGTATATCATGCCACTGGCAATGGCTGGCTAGAGTTTCTGAGAGTTTCTAGGCCAGGGTCAGCAACCTGTGGCTCTGAAGCCACATGCGGCTCTTTGGGCCCTCTGCTGTGGCTCCCTGTCGAGTGATCCTACCACTGGCTGGCCATGCCCCTCGCCTTCCCCTACCAGTCACTCCTCACCTGGCCTGAGAAGGTAAGGGAGATGGCAGGGGATGGAGAAGTGGCCAGGGCAGAGAGAGAGAGAGATACAGAGAGAGGGAGAGAGAGGGAGACATAAAGAGATACAGGGAGAGAGGGAGAGAGAGTGCTGAGGGAGGGGAGAGAGAGAAATGTCAAATGGGTTTTGTGGTTCCTGGTGTTTTTTAACAGCTGGTTTTCTGCCCTAATGATGGCTGGGTAGGTGTGGCTAGGAGGATCATGTGACTGGTGGAAGTGAGTGACATCAAGTTGGCCATGCCCACCCACGTTTTGTGGCTCCCGGTGTTTTCTTTTCTGTGGGAAATGGGTCCAAATGGCTCTTTGAGTGCTTAAGGTTGCAGACCCCTGTTCTAGGATGATCAAGGGTGGGAAAAAGTATAGCTAATATATACAGCACTGCATGTGTACAAAGAAATGTTGAGTAAGCAAAGACAGGCTATACTCAAAAATGAAAAAAATATGATGATTCAGAAAGATGCAGGTAATCTGCCTATTTTTAATTATGATGTGTTAAAATAATCTACTTAAATAAAGACATAGATATATGACTCCAGAGTGAATATCTTACGATTACTTTACTTAGAATTATAGACTTCTAACACAGACCTTGAAGGCCATCTGCTAGGGTTGCCTGGTTCTAATCACAAAACCTTGATGACACAAGGCAGGGAAATATGCTGCTTGAAGTCTGAGACAGTAGAAGCAGAGGGAAGATAAAAAAATTCAGATAATCTTCTACTTTCTTTGCTTTAACTGTGTCACAGCAGAAAACTAGGACATCTTTCCTTTGTGTAATGTACATTTGCAAACTAGCCTCACTTCCTAGCTAGAGCAGCACACTTGTGAATAGGATTGAAGCTCTATGAAAGGCAGTTGGTAGGGTACAAGAGAACTGTAGCCCTAGACTTTTGCTGGAGATGGGGCCAGGTTTAGACATGGTGAAGCCTCAAGCTATGAGAAGTTGTAGAGGCTCTACTTGACAAGTACCAGCAGAGAATAAAGCTGTGTAACAACTGAATTTGGCAAGGCTGCTGCCAAGATGCGTAACAAACCTGTGGTGAGGAGGGGATGGGCCCTGTTTGAACAAAAGATGTTAGTGCATGCAGAAACAAAGCACACATTAATCAATTATTGAGGGTCACGTGACCACACTAAAAGGCTTAATTTAATTTCCCATATTTAAACAAAATCTGACATTTTAAGAAGCCTCTACAGACTGTGAAACCTAAGTTATAGCATCTTTGTGTTAGATGTTGAGCTTTCTGTTTAATGTAAAAAAACCTCTGCCTTCTTCAAAAAGAAAAAAAATGAATTTAACATCCAATTTGCAAGTATAATGATAGAGTGGAATCCAGTTTATCATCACTGTCATCTAAAACTTTTCATTCTGCTATTATTTGTGAATAAAAAGTATGCATAAATTAATAGATCCTGTGGGCAAAATGTGAAACCCAGCAGCTCCCATTTGGTGTCCCCTGGAACCCTCCAGTGAAGATTAAGCCAAAAAAAAAAAGGCTAATTTTTTCAGGTTCTTTAGATGTTTGGGAAGTTATTAAGGAGTAAAATGGGTACTATAAACCTTGCAAATATGTAAGGCCACTATACTCTGCAAAAGCTGCAGTGCTCAAACAATTGCTAGACTTCAAGCTGTCTATTTTGATTCCATCTATCTTGTCCATTGCTGCCAATCTCATATTATATATATATTATATGAGATATAACCTGAGAAGACACACACACACACACACACACACACACACATGTGTGTGTGTGTCTTCTCAGGTTATATATCATATAATATATATATATATATATATATATATATATATATATGTATGTATATATATGTATGTATATGTATATATGTATATATATATATATTATATTTGGTTATATCAGGTCTTCACCCACGTAAAAATTGAATGTCTTGGCGACGTTTCGTTCTTACACCTGAGAAAACCTATATATAAATATATAAAATATATATATATGAGCAATATATATCCTGGAAGCACGAAGCCGAGAACACCAGCCTGAAGATGACGAATGAGACTTCGTCGAAACGTCGCCAAGACACTTCCAATTTTACGCGGGAGAAAACCCGAATAACCAAAGACCTACATATATATACCCGCGAAAACCTCAGTATGTATATATATATATATATATAATATTATATGCATCTTTGTCTTTTTTCATTTTTCCTATTGAACACCATTCTATTTCTCCACACTCAGTGCTTGCTGTTGCTTCTTGTTCATTGTAAAGATTTCTCAAAAGAACAATCAGTTACCCTTTTAAACTCCAACATACATTAAGACCAATCAATGGTCTTACTATACAGTAATCAGTTTAAAAAGATAGAATTCTTCTTGTATTTTTCTTGCTCAGTCCATTTTTTGTGCTACGTTAATCATCTGATCTTGGGTTCCTTCCTGAAACCTGCCTGTTTATTTGGCACTCCAGTTTTCATGGACTGTATGGTTCTGTTCTTTATAGATCCGTAAGCTAGACTTTGATTGTGCAAGCAATTAGTGCAATACTTTAATTCGCATATTCTCTTACGTCTCCTTTCTTTGGAATACAATAGGTATGTACAGCAAACTTTTTCCAATCTCTAGCTCAGCAGTCTTGTTTTTGACTATATCTTGTCTTTTAGCTTTAAACAGTTAAATAGATATTTCATCTGCATCCCATGCTTTTCTACCTGACAGCTGTTTTATTGTACCCAATTTTCTAATGGAATTGATTTCTGAATATATACTCTCTCTGCAAATTTTATCTTTAAATCATATCTGTAAAGAGTTTCAATATACTTCCGCATCTTCTTTTAACCTCATTTACATCAATCAAATCTCTTCCATGATAACTCATGAATAATCCTGTCTTAATGTAAATTTTCTTTTCTTCTTCTCTGATCTTCTTAAAAGTTTTATTTCTCCTTTCATCGCATTTTCTCCAATTCTTAATTGAGATATTTGTCTTTCACTTAACAGTGAAAATCTTCATTTAATCATCTCCCAATTGGATTTGTCACATACAGTAACTTAATGCAGCTTCCTTTCTAGACCACTCTAAAGCTATAATTGAGCCAGAATCCAACAGCACAAGCAATTATGGATTCCTCTCACTATGCCCATGTGACACCGTAGTCCTCATTTAATGGTAGTAATTGAGACCAGATTTCTATCACTAAGCAATATGGTCATAAAGAGAGATATTATGTCACTGTGCCATTTAGCAATGGCAGTTTTGACAGTCCCTGGTTTGTTAAGAGAGAACCTCAAGTAAGTGCAACTTCTGGCTTCCTGCCATCTTTCCCATTGACTGCAATGGCCAGAAGTTTGAGGATCAATCTTAAATGCAATTCATTCAGTTCCGTTACAAATTCGAACGATCACTGAATGAGTGGTTCTTAACTAAGGACCATCTGTACCAGGGGTGAAATCCAGCAGGTTCTGAGAACTGGTAGCAGAAATTTTGAGCAGTTCAGAGAACCGGTAGCGGAAATTTCAAGTAGTTCGGAGAACTAGCAAATACCATCTCTGGCTGGCCCCAGAGTGGGGTGGGAATGGAGATTTTGCAATAACCTTCCCTCCGGAGTGAGGAAGGAATGGGGATTTTGCAGTATTCTTCCCCTGCCTCACCCATCAAGCCACACCCACCAAGCCATGCCCACAGAACTGGTAGTAAAAAAAATTGGATTTCACCACTGATCTGTACTCTACAAGCCACACTGGCTCACTTTTGGATTTTGACTGCAATTCAAGGTGATGCCTATCATCTTTAAAGTTCTACATGTCATAGGACCAGTATACTTGAGGGCCACCTTCTTACCAGAGTTCCCCTTATATACTCTAGATTCATTAATTGAAATAATGTTATTGTGTGGGGCCCAGGAAGTGGACCTTTATGATGGCCGCTCATATTTTATGGAACAACCTTTCTCCCCACTTACAATTGGCCTTGACTTTGCTGGCCTTTAGAAGTGCTTTAGAAATATGAAAAGTGGAAAAAGCAGAGGAGTGAAAGAGAGAAAATGTTCTAATAAAGTTAAATAAGTTAAGAAGGGGACTGTTATAGTATTAGGTATGGTATATGTTAATATTAGTATTAAGTTAAGAAGAGGTAAAATAATAAACATGACTGTAAATTGTAATTGTTATTGTATAAAATATTTGCACAAAATATTTGTACCCAGATGACACACAGTTTAATGGAGGATGATGTTTGAATCAAAATAAAATTAAAAAATTGGAAAAAAAAGAAAAGAAAAGAAATGCTGTCAAGACAGGCTGTTTCCCTGGGCTTCGGAGTCATGATATCTTGGAGCCATTATTAGATGATGGTATTATTTCTGTTTGGATCACCATTTTATTATTTCATTATTGTGAGTTTACATACTATGGTTTTATGTTCTCCATATTACGTTTCGTTGAATTTTGTGAGCCAGACAAAGACACCTTAGTTGAGTTAGGTGGCCACATAAATATGTTAAATAAATTTTAAGTAGATATGCCCTTTTTCCCGAAGCTATGAGTTAGCATCTTGAATTTTACAATTGCCCAGGTAGCATTCTCCTGTTGTAAAATATTGCCTAATCTCTACCAGGGTCAACTAAGCAAGCAAAACTGAGAGATCTCAATACAAAGTTATGTCAGATTTGTGAGTAAATTTCTTAGACACCAAGAGAAGATCTGGAACAAGGCAACTCTGTACAAGATAGACAAGCTCCACCTGAACCAAAATGGAACTAGGCTGCTGGCACATCATTAAGAAAAAGCTGTAGAACAGCTTTTCTAACTGATCCCTAAGGGAAAGTCAACAGACAGAAAAAAACAGTCAGGGTGGAAGGGTTTACAGATTTTAGAAAATAATATAAGTAATAGTATTGTGAGCTAATCAGTGGACATGACAGTCAGGAAACAAAAAGGCAAGATGTGGGAAAGGATCTAGTGTACAGTATAGGTGTTTCTGTGCCAATGCTAGAAGTGTCCAAGCCAAGAATGGAAAATTAGAATACTTTGTTGCAAACAAGGACATAAATACTTATGTACTATATAACAGAAATCTGCTGGAATGGAAAGAATTAATGGGTTAGAATAATTCCTAGCTATAAAATGTATATAAAGAACAGAAGATATGGGATATATATCTGAAGCCGTATTGGTTTTTTCAGGGAAGTGATCAGGATAAATGAAGCAAACTGAGATAACAAGGGAAAATAATTCTAGGATATCTTGAGAGGTTAGAGCAGGGGTGTCAAACTGGCAGCCCATGGGCCATATGTGTCACATGCAGGCCACGCTCACCCCAGCTCCGTGAAGGGAAAAAACATTGTGATATGTTACGTGACGGCAATATATATATATATATATATTTAAATTTGATTTATATGCCGCCCTTCTTCGGAGACTCAGGGCAGCTTACAATGCGCTAAGCAATAGCCTTCATCCTTTTGTATATTTATACAAAGTCAGTTTATTGCCCCCACAACTGGATCCTCAATATGACGCAGTGAATTTGACACCTGTGGGTTAGAGTAACAAATCACTGTTGATGGGATCCATCCAAGAGTTCATCCTTACCAACCTTCTGTGGGACTGTAAATGGCCCATGAATGGCTCTGTCAATACTGTATACTTGGATTTTAAGGAACTTTCAGAATGACCTATACAGTCTATCTTCCTTCACACTGTCAGACAGAAGGATATGTATTTTATATCATGTCAGAATGTACAGGATTTAATGTGACTTCTACCCTCTTCCTTGAATGTGTCTATTTTTGCACAGTATATATCTTCTATGGTATTTTTCAGTTACATTGACCATCAGTAGGTACAATGTACAAAAACTGTTGAGTAAACCTAGTGGACAAGAGATCAGAAGGCTTGTCTTTGAATGACTAAAAAACAGAAAGCAAAGAATAGGAATAAATGAGCCATTTTATAAATAGAGAAAGCCAAAAAAAGAAGTTCTTCAAGAACCTAAATTAGGACCAGGGTTTTTAATTTTTCAAAAAAATATCCTGATTAAGAGTAAGGAATCAACTAGCCAAGTTTGCAGATGATACAAAACTATTTGGAGTAATGACATAGAAAATGATTTTGAAAAGCTTAAAAAGGTTTTCTTTTAAAAAAAGCTTGATGAATGGTCAACCAAATGACTAGAGGTTCAGTTTAACTAAGTGTGAAATGTCGCACATTGGGCAACAAGCTGTAATACCTCATTTATGCACCAATAGGGTTTGAGCTATCTGCCACAAACCAAGGAACAGATCTTAAAGGGATCTTATGATTAACTCAGTGAAGATGTTGATAATGTTCAACTGTGGAAAAAGTCAAATTCTATGCTAGAGATCATGCTAGGAAAGCAATTGAGAACAAGACTGCCAAATTTGTAATGGCTTTACAAATCTATGCTACATCTCCATTTGTAATACGATGTACAATTCTAGTCACCCCATTTGAAAGAGAATATACAGAGCTAGAAAAAGTGCAGATGATTATCAAAACAAATAGACTCAAACATTTCTTTTAGTTTGGAAAACTAGCGAGTGAGACTTATGATACATGCATGGCGTGGAGAAATGGGCATGGAGATATTTTTCTCCTCCTTCTTAAAATATGAAAATTAGGGCTTATATAATGACTTTATTAGCTATTTGGAAATTACTGAAAACAAAGTTATTTGAGGGAGCTTTTGAACTACAAATATCGCCATCTATTTATTGGTTGAGGTTCTGGTCAGTTTTTGTTGATTTTTAAACTTTTATATCATAGCTTTGCTATTTTTTTTACTTTGATTTAGTCAAATCAAAATGTTTTATTTGAGTTTATGCTATGGTTGTTTTAGAATCATTTGATGAAGCTGCCAAGAGTCTTTTGATTGTAGTGGAAAGAATATATATAAAAAGGTTCATGGAGATCCAATCCATCTTGAAGATGGAAGCCTGGAAGACCAATTCTGCTTCTGGACTGGAAGAAGCACGCATGCCTTCAAATACATGCCTCAGGCATCCAATGGTGGTCAGGACAGAGATATGTCCAATTTCTGCATCCTCAGACTCATTTTTGTAAGAGAAAATCTTACAGTGTAAGGGCTCGGCTGACTTCTCCAATGCAAATTACCCTTTAACAACCTCAAGCCATAAATAATATAAAAATGTTTCTCAACTGTCAAAGATTCAGAAGATTATTTTGCCACAGAAGTCCCCAAAATCTGGTAGCTTCCTATTACAAATATTGACATAACAGTGTTCTTGGAAGTGTTAACTGCATCTAAACAAGTATTGTAAGATAATTCATTCAATACTAATTCTCTGAGAGTATTTAAATATCAGCAATGAACCTGGGTAATACCAAATATCTTTTCTCATTGCTTATTAATTAAATTTAATCAACACTCCAAACTTGATCTGAGATGTTCTGAGGAAGTGGGAGACTGACCGCTCTAGCAGTAATTCCAGGGAAGACTCTCAGTAGTCCAACGTTGCTATTCATGTTCATATGGATCTCAAATTTCTTCATAGTATTAGCTCTCCATATGGTCTCCCAATTAACTGTGAAAAAACAAAACAAAAAATAATCATTCATTCATGGAATATTCTTTCCTATTGTGTTCAAAATCTGCCTTACAGGAAATCTGATTAATATTTACACAAAAATAACTACCACCTTATATATACAACAGATCATACATAAGATCCAGAGTCACGCCAAGGGTGAGATGGGCAGCATATACATTTATTAAATAAATCAATAAAATCTAGTACCGTATAATTGAGTGAACTTTCAGCCACATAGCAAGGCATTTTTTCCTCTCCTCTGACATTCTCTTTGGCCCTGCAAATCTGCTTTGCACCCTCCCATTCCCTTCCTATTTTTTTCCAAATATTGAACATTCATGGGGGTTGTAGGTCGGATTTTATCTTCATTCTACCGATGAAACCATTCCATCAATGAAAGTGGGTAATTTAATACAATTCAGCCTTCATTCATCTGGAAAGGAAAAGTAAGTACTAAATTTTATTGCATTCAACTCTTGTGAGTCTCCTTTTCTTCTCATAGGTAAGTAGCATCTAAAATTTGCAATATTAACCCAACGGGGAGAGAATCTGCCTTATATTACTCTGAAAAGTTATGTGAGCATTAGTAGCACAGGATGACTCTTGCATAAAGGAAAATCATTTCCTTGAGTTCTGCCCAGTTATAGATCCAATATTGGGTCCTGTTCTGGGCTTAATTTCTCATAGGAATTTCAGGTTTCAGAAGGCCAATAAGAGATCATGTATATGCACTTTTTAATAATAACAGCAGCAATAATGATGTGAAATACAACTAATCTTCACCTTTTCTGTTTCCAAAGAAAAGAGGAAAAAAAATTTTAAAGCCCAAGCATGGTATTTTATATTTATTTAACTATAGACATTAAATGCCATTCTTTATTTCAAAGAATAGTACAAAATTAAAATGAAGAACTATTTCAAAAGCATAATGTACAATTAGAAGATCCTGTGAAATTTAACGTTCTGAATTCTGGGGTGGGGGGTGGACAACTGAGACACAGAACTTTATGATCTCAGGAGGGAGCTGTCAGAGGTCGTTTATGAGTATGCCTCTTATTAAAGAACAATTCTACCACTGCAATGTTTTAAGATCTTATTCTTTATCTATTTTTGCTCAATAATCGGGAACATGGGCATATACTGAGTTGTGGAAAGTGGACTGCCATTATTATCCATGGAAATGAAGTATCCAAAAATTGATCTGAGAAAACACTATGCAATGCATTCTGGTTAATGCACAAAAGTCTTCAGCCAATTAGAACTGAAGAAGCCATTGGATTTTTGCACAACACCTGTTTATAACAGCCCGAGTTGAAAACCAATATGTCAACACATTCCAAATTGCCCGAATAATAATTTTCAAGTGCTCTGTTATTACAAAGATGTGAAGATGCTTCAACATAATTGATATATTCTGCTTCTCTAATCCCAGTTTCATTTTACCTACCTAGGGCAACAGTACCAACATGTGCCTGGGGGGTAGAGTGAAGCAAAGCAAGGCCACCTTGCCAGCCGTCTGCAATGTGACACATATTTCACACGTCTTTAAAAGACAGATGTTGTTACTCTTACCACTAAACATCTACAGAGTTTATAATGCAGTTACTAGTGATTAAATAAAATGGCAATGAATCAATTAAGTGTGATTATACATTGCAAGCCAGATGCCAGCTGTTTAACTAATAGTCATGCTTCAGTTCCGTTGCTGAAATGCCAAAACATTCATTATTAATTCTGAAAAATCTCACTATCCCTGTCTAGCAGACAATGAAACATAAGTAAGATTAGAAGAAAGCTATATCCACAAGATGCACATTCATGGACTATCCAAGATAATATCTAGTTAAGAAGTTGGAGAAAGATATGTTCATTTACACTATATTATTATATTTTATGAAGTATATTGGACTGAAAATTGCGTAGGGTCATTAAATATAAATAAATGCAAAATTAAATAAACATTAAAACACTAAAATAAAAAATACACAAATACAGAGGGATTGTTGATGCCCAAATCAGAATGTTTCTCTAGAGAACAGAGCTGTCCTAAACTGATATTATTCTGTCACAGTTGCATTGGCAGTAGCTTATCTATGCAGTGAATATTTTAAAATCTTGTATCTTTAACATTAACTTCAGGGAACTTTTGAATTAGGCCTCTTCAAAAGATCTCCGATGAGGATACAAGTATTACAACTGCTGGAATGTGACTCAGAAGAGATACTAGGGCAATTAAAAGTAGCACAGAAGTTTGTATTTCAGCAAGTTTCTGTTACCAGTTAAGCCCTATAATAGGAAGAATAAGACCTGATTTCAGTTTTGAAAGCAAAAGATACAGCATCATATTTCATGAAAGTATCATTATACCCGACTCAACTTTTTGTGGCAATTGTAGATTAATTTGTTTTCTGGCATCAGTATGGCTGGCATCAACTTTACCGGAAAGACTTTCTTTCTCAGAAGATGTGAAAAAGAATTATTGCCACGTTGAATGTGTCTGATTTAGTGTTAGAAACTGTGTATTTAATACTTTGGAATAATTAGAAACACCATTTTTGAGATGACACACATTAGCCATATTCACTTCAAATGAAAATACACAAGATAACCAGATGAAAATACACAATTGGGAGAGAAGCCATGGCAATGATTTTTTACATAGCTGTTTCTGAACTTGAATGTAACCAATTACCGGTACTTCTATTTCATTCATCCACTCATTCATTTGCTGAATTTCTATCCCATCATAACTCAGGGACATTTAGAAAGAGGGTCTCATAACTTTATCCTTACAATAACTTCGTGAGGTAGGCTGGCTTGACAATGAATATAATTTTTTAGTAAATTCAGTGGTTGCATGGGGACTTACAACTCAGCTCTCCATCTAGTTGCAATACCATAATTTCTACTTTACACTGGATTCCTTTCATTACAAAAAAGAGAGGGTGATTATACCAGCAATAACTATTGTTTTAATCCATAGAATGGTACTCTACAAGTTTGGGGCATTCCACCTCAAAAGTATCTCCCACCCCCAAATCATGCCACTAAATCTTTGTGACAATCCACAGTAAACATAATTTTCTTTAAATGGAGAAACAAACTGCAGCATATATTCTAGCAATGGCAACTCTACTAACAGGCACCCATGGGAATAGAAAAACAAATCTATCTTTATTTTGGAGCAAACTTCTATTGGGTTACACTAGTGTTTTTCAATCTTGGCAACTTTAAGATTTGTGGAATTCAACTTCCAGAATTTGAGGATTCTGGGAGCTTAACTCCATGAAGCTTAAAGTTGCTGAGCTTGGGAAACACTGAGTTGCACTCTTAATTATGAATAAGCCTTGATAATGTTCAGTTCAGTCCAAGACCAACTCAGAACTACAAGGTAAAACTTTGAAGGACATGGTGGGTCCCTAGTACTTATGAAGTTCAGTCATCATCATCATCAAATACCAATAAACCTCTTAAGGTTAAAGGTAAATTTCTTTTTAAGGTGACAAGTTCAATTAAACTTATTTATTATTTGGGACAGATAAGGTTTTCTTTTCCTTACCCCTTAAATAAATTGTATTCCATGGGGAACATCATTATTAGCATGTAATGACTCTAGATTTACTAAGGTTATCTGCAAGGAATCAAAGAATAGAGTTGGCATAAATCAGACATTATATCATAAATCAGAGATGCACTGCCTTATCTAATAGTGTAAGACTGACTATTTTTGAGCTCTGTTTGTCTTCTTGTATGCTCAAATAGGTACTCTGATGATAGGGCATGAAAGGATGGAAAAACTGGCTATGAAGCTATTTAGCTAAGATCTAGCCATTGCTAAAACACAGTTTATCGTGTCAGATTCCTTGTTACTTGTTACTGGAGATTTCCTCTGCCATCCTGAATTTAAACAAATTATTCAAGAGATGAATGGGCTTTTTTGCAACCAAAATGGCACACATTTTTCTCGTTATTGTTGTTGTTAAGATCATAGAAAATGAAGTCAGTAATGGCATGAAGCCACCAGAGAAAGAGTCAAAATGTCTGAACCATTTGGCATTGGTTTGAAAAATGTACAGGGCAAAAATAGAACTTACCGTATTTTTCGGAGTATAAGATGTACCTTTTCCCCCAAAAAAAGAGGGTGAAAATCTGGGTGTGTCTTATACTCCGAATGTAGCCCCACCCAGCTTCTCAAATGGAGGTTTCAGAGGCTGAAAAAAGCATCAGAAACAAAGCTTCAGAAAAGAAGCCCCCAAACAGAGCTTCAGAGGCTTTTTTTCTGAAGCTCTGCCTCTGAAAGCTCTGAGGCTTTCAGAGGCAGAAAAGAAAGCAAAAAAAAAAGCAAGGCACAGAGCTCACAACCAAGGAACCTGTTGCTAAAATTCACCTCTGGGAACAACTGATTGGGGGTATTTCGGGAGGCCGATCCACCTGCCAATCAGCTTTTTTCTTATTTTCCTCCCCAAAAACTAAGGTACATCTTATATTCCAGTGTGTTTTATACTCCGAAAAATACAGTAGCTTAAGATAACACTTTTTTCTTTTAAAAAAATTCTCATGTTTTTAAAAAAGGTTTGGGGGTTAAGGGATAAAATTACTTAAGCAATTGCCCTGAGGGGGTGAGAGTGGAGCAAATACACTTTCCAGAGAAAAATTCTGACCTGTCCATTTGTTAATAAAATGTTTTCAACTTTTTTTCCAGCACAACACTGTATAGTTTCCAGATTGTACCAGCAACCTGCTCTGACTTCAATAATCCAAGCATGTAAAAGAGGTTGTATTTCATTCAGTAAAAACAGTCCTTCACAATATGTAAATTCAATACAAATCTTAAATAATCCTAAACAAGCAAGGGTAGAAACCATTCCTACCTAAGATTCCAAATAGCTATTACTAACCAAATCAATGGAGTTAGATGCTTCAATATTCTAACTTTGTATAAGCAATCAGATTTTAGTTTCTGGACGTTTACATCTATGTAAACTTTCAGCAAC